TATTTTGAACATAGGGATATATAAGTTAATGGATTGTCTGTTTATTATATTGTGCAATTTAAGAATGTTATTCATATCTAGAAACACAGCTTTACAAGATTCCCAATATTTTGGAATAATTAGATTTTTTGTTTGAATCTTGCAAGAAAAGTCGCAATGTATGTAACTATTGAATTCATGAAACATTTGGACTAACTCTTCACATAAGAGCCTTCTTTGTTAGATGCCAAGTCTTTCCTCAGCACACAGAAAGACACCATATGTTGTTCTCGAGTTCATAATTATTAGTAATATACACGAGTCTCATAGTAAATTTCTTTGCTTATGTTTTGAAGATTCTTGCTTTTTATCCGGAGCATTTCACTGCACCATTCCATGTACATTTCTTTGTTTCAGTTATCTGCCAAAGGAGATCTCTGAAGTTACAGTTCTCCTTGGTGTGATATACTTTGCTTGGTGAAAATCTTATGATTTTCATTTGTTATCTTGCATCAGGATCCTGATTACTTTGTTCTTAAAGAAGATGCCTCCCCTTGCATTTTTGGCCCTATTGAAAAGCAGAGGTGGTCATACGCATGTGCAAAGCAGTTGATCGAAAGGTTGATCTATGGTGAGTGATTTAAATTTATTGATCTTTATATCTTAGTAGTGAAACTTGCATTAAAAAAAAAATTCTTTTACCTTGTTCTACAGCTGAGGGTGCTGAAAATGGTCTTGAATTCACAATTGTGAGGCCCTTCAACTGGATTGGTCCCAGAATGGATTTCATACCTGGAATTGATGGTCCCAGTGAGGGTGTTCCAAGAGTTTTAGCTTGCTTTAGCAATGTGAGATTATTATTCATATGCAGATTGAATACCATGTCGAATTAATTTGACTGTCTATTTTCTAATATTGTTTTCTTCTCTCTGTTCAGAATCTTCTAAGGCGTGAACCACTCAAGCTTGTGGATGGTGGCGAATCACAAAGAACCTTTGTTTATATCAAGGATGCCATTGAAGCTGTTCTTTTGATGATTGTGTGTTAATTTAATTCCCTATACTTTTGCTTGATGTTGATCTGTTGAGGTAGTAGCTAAGTGGTGTGATTTTAAACAGGAAAATCCAGCCAGGGCCAATGGTCACATATTCAACGTTGGCAACCCAAACAACGAAGTTACAGTCAGACAGCTTGCTGAAATGATGACTCAGGTAATATGTTTATGTAATTCTTTGATCTGTTTCCGTTCACCTATTAATAAATTTCTCAACCTTTTGTTCTGGTTATGCGCTCAAAGGTTTACTCAAAGGTCAGTGCAGAACCTCCACTAGATACACCTACCATTGATGTAAGCTCTAAAGAATTTTACGGTGAAGGATATGATGACAGTGACAAGAGAATTCCAGACATGACCATAATTAACAGACAACTTGGTAATAATCTGTTCAGTTGGCACGCATAATTGTTCTCGAGCCTTGGCTATATTCTTATGGTAAGGTTTAATTGTGTGATTGTTAGGATGGAATCCAAAGACATCGCTCTGGGATCTGCTCGAGTCCACTCTTACATACCAACACAGGACATATGCTGAAGCTATTAAGAAGGCCATTTCAAAGCCGGTTGCAAGTTAAGAGAAAAGTATAATATCTGGACATCGTCCATGTTCGTGCCTTCTCAGTTCTCTGAGAGGATCTCTTAGGATATCGATATGGTTTCATATCATATACACAACATTCTTCGTCTTTCCAGTCACAAACCTACATATCGCAGTTGCAGGTATCCTGTACGTCTAATACTGCATTATATTTTGTTGTTAGTGCCTTAATTTTTTTAGTTCGCCTTCAAATGAGCATGTTGTATTATTTATTATTCATTTCAAACAATAGTTTGTTGTATTACTACAAGCTGCTTGTGGGAATTTTTCTTTTATTTTATTTCAATGCTCTTTTTTTTTTAACAGTAATTGTGTTTCTCTGGTTCATGGTTGAATTTTTTCACCAACTATGCAAGTTCGTTGACCCTTCAAAATTACTTTTTGATAATTGAAGTAAAGATTTATACTTTATTAGGATAGATCATTAAAAAAGTCGTTACTCAAATGACGGCAATTAGCTATGATATCTAATTTGAAATACTCAGCGATAATCAATATACATTTTTTGTTACATTAATATTATTTTAAGAATTTAAGGGCTCTCACAAAAAATAATAATTCGTTTTATGAGTGGATGTTTGGGAAATAAAGTAAAAAATATAATTTGACATCATAAACACGTATGCAAATGGTTCGAAAAAAGGAGAAAGAAATAGAACATGGAAAATTATACCGGACACCGCAATGTCTGTTAACTTCATCATATTTCACTTGTGGTAAAAGTTTCCGACTTTTGCTATTTTTTTGTTTTTTATTTTTTTTATGTCCCATTTTACCGTACTTGATGACAGTCAAAAATTCGTTACGAGGGAGTAAAAAGACTTGTTAAGCCACTGACAACTATTATTTAAAAACGGAAGGGGTTGTTCTCTTTTTATTTCGGTTTTTAGTTTTGAATTTTGAATTTGTTTTGGGGTTTTGTGTTCTGAATATCCATTTTAAGATAGTTGAAAATGCGTTCTTTTTGTCATTTTGAAAATTTGTTTAAAAAAAAAAAGTTTTAGCTTAGTTTTAACTGAAAACTGCAAAAACGATTTTTTTGACATTTTCGATTTTTTTTTTTGTAAATTTAAACTCGTTTTTAGAAATTCATTTCTAAAGATAAGTAAATAAATGTGTTTTCAATATTTTTGAAAATTGAAAACTGAAAATAGTCTGAAAAAAGTGAGGAGAACAAACCCTTCTTTTTCTACATACTCGTTTTCAACCATACATTCACACAATAAAATATTTTACACGTAATAAAAAAAAAACTTTCTACTTTTTAATTACATATTCTCCTAAAAATCACAATTTAAAATATTTTTTTTTTCAAATAATGATCATCAAACATGGGCTAATTAAGCAAAATAAGCAATAAATGCAAAAGTTCAACAAAATTATTTTTCCAACTAATTAAAATGGAAACCGTTATCTAATATAAGATGTATTAATTAATAGAAAGTTAAAGATAACAATGAGAAAAAAAAAATTTAGAGATAAAAATAAAAAAATTGGAGTTCTTCATTGCAGTTAAATGCACCATGAATATATTTTACATATAGTCTACAGGATAAATATTAATTATGATATAAACGATTATGACATTAATTGAATATACCATACTATGATCGTCCCATTAAATTTTTTCTCATTGCAAACTATTATCAAAATATTTAGCCCATGTTTGGTGAATGTTAAAATTAGATTTTTGATAGATTTTGATAGAAATTAATAAAATATGTGGTTGAAAAGTTGTGAATACCATAAAATGTATAGTTAAAATTAATTGTTAACTTTCATTTAGATTAAAATCTAAATTTTAATTCGTACTGAAAGTGGACTTAAATCATCTATCATTTTCACTTGGAAGACTAAAGTAACATTTCTTTTAACTTTTCACCTTGTAGCCCTGTTACATGAATAGAGGCCTGTTCGAACAGGGAGCGTGACCCTGTTCAACAAAGAATAATCCTTTCACCTTGTACCTAAACAAAGAACACACAAAACACCCTGCTTCGTTGCCCTTGATACACGCCCTCCTCGATTCGCACACCAGCTTTCGACAAAAAAAGCGTGACTGAACTGGAAACAAAGTAAAATATTGCATGCATTGGCATCTGGGATCCGAATATCAGATAACCTCTCTCTTAATGATTAGTCATGTCCTCTTGTCTCCATGTCGCCTCGGCTGGCCTATATTCCCTTCTCCCTGTTCAATCACCACACACAATTTGAAGACAAGTGTGATATTTTAATCGTTGAAATGGGTCAAACCCATAAAGAAAATGTTAAAACACAAATGACTTGTGAATGAAAATTCGAATCTTTGCACGAATTGCCGCCTTTGTTTTTCAATAAGAAATCGAGTACTTTTTGTATTATTATTTCCATGTATGATGAACTATCAAAATATGTGAAGTGTGAACTGTTGCTTTGTTGTTAGGCTTTTTTATAAACACGAAAAGCATAATGCGAGGTTGTAAAGATAGCGTCTTTATGGTCATGATTGTTGTTTTTTCCTGTTACCAAAGGTTGACTCGAAAAACTCAGTTTTCTTTTTTCTTTTGAATTTTGTGTCAAACTGAGAGCCTGTTTGTTAAAAATTTTCATTTTCTTGATAACCTCTCTCTTAATGATTAGTGATGTCCTTTTGTCTCCATGTCGCCTCGGCTGGCCTATATTCCCTTCTCCCTGTTCAATCACCACACACAATTTGAAGACAAGTGTGATATTGTAATCGTTGAAATGGGTCAAACCCATAAAGAAAATGTTAAAACACAAATGACTTGTGAATGAAAATTCGAATCTTTGCACGAATTGCCGCCTTTGTTTTTCAATAAGAAATCGAATACTTTTTGTATTATTATTTCCATGTATGATGAACTATCAAAATATGTGAAGTGTGTACTGTTGCTTTGTTGTTAGGCTTTTTTATAAACACGAAAAGCATAATGCGAGGTTGTAAAGATAGCGTCTTTATGGGTCATGATTGTTGTTTTTTCCTGTTACCAAAGGTTGACTCGAAAAACTCAGTTTTCTTTTTCCTTTTGAATTTTGTGTCAAACTGAGTATCTGTGGTTGATATGGTTGGTGGGGGGCTTCCGTTTAGAAGAAATTTGTTTATTTACTTAAATAATAATTAATGATGTGATGAGCTGTGGGCATCATAATGTCAGGGTTTCTGTAGATTGTAATCAATTGAACTGAAGTGGGTGATTTTTTGTTTCGAGAGAGAGAGAGAGAAAAAAGAGAGGGAATTTAAATTCAACCGGGCATTTATTATAGAGAATCAGAACTCAATTGGATCGACTATTTGCTTTAAAAGAATTGGAGTGAACATTTTCCAGAAAGGAGGACTATTGAGGCTTGCAAGGTCGGGTACCTGATGGCCTCTGCAGCCAAAAGTAATGGGTTTTATCGCGAAGGAAATGAATGGTATTCTTCATCCCTTACTCTCTTTCTTTGTGTCTGTTAAAATCCATTTTATGTTTCTGAGAATTCTATTTAATTCTTGATCATCCATGAAAGTCCGCGCGGTTCAGGCAGAGGGGGAGTCAGAGATGTGCCGTTCTATTTTGCTAAGAATTTGTGTTCTATTATCCCAAGAGTTTATAAACTCACCTATTCAGTGTTGTTTCAAGTATAGATAAAATTTGACATCTAATTAACCAGCAAAGTTTCTAGAGCGAGGATAACTAATTTCATATTAACGTGTGAATGATGTTATATAGTTCACTGCAATGGAGGGTAATGGTATTGGGGAGAGGGAAAATTGCAATCTTCACTGGCGACAAGAACTTTTTGAGTCTTTTTCCAGTTCATATGCGACTTGAACAGGGTAATGCTTCCTTGGGACTTGAAGTTCGGTTTGGTTCATAATACAAATCAACTGAGATTGGGCTGGAAAAATTGGGTAGGTTCAGGCGTTTGTCTTTCACAGGGGAGATCCAGATTTTTGTAGGCTTTATCAATTTATATTAGATGCGTAGGCAACAAAGCTTGTCCTCGATGGGAAGAGAAATATGAAATTATGGTATTCTTGAATTTTCTAAAAAGGAGGGTATTTGAATTTGTCCCGAGATGATCTTATTGTTGAATGTTGGGCCAAAATGACATGAAAGTTTGTTTGTTTTTCCTTTTAGGTACTGCAATTCGAGTCTGCCAAGTGATATCATAGTGGTGGTGGATGGAGTAAGCTTTCATCTTCACAAGGTAATTTTTCTTTCATGCTTTTAAAATCATGCCAAAAGAAGAAAGATGATTAGTTTGTCTTTATGTGTGTTCTTTGATAGTTCCTAAGAGTTGCTACATGCTGATACGCTGGGAATGTAGACATTCATTTGATCAACGGGGAATCCAGATTTCATCAAGATGCTAACCCTGTAAGAATATGAAGAACCATAGTGCAGGGAGGAGAGTCTGCTCTTTGAAAATGTTTATAGTTTGGAGTATAGGTTTCATCCTCTTATAAGAATGACTTAAAAGGATTTGAGGGTTCTGTTGCAGTTTTAGAAAGTCAACAGAATGTGGTCGACTTTGGCAGTTCATATGATTTGATTCTTTCATTTTGGGTTTTACGTTGAGAGATACTATTGAAAATATGTTGCTTCTCGGTTTACTTATCTCTATATTACATCATTGGTAGCACTTTGATTTTTATTGACATATTTCAGACAATAGTAACATGAAGATATTCAATTTTTTTTGTGTGTGTGTGATGCTGTGGAATACGTTTGGCGCAAGTCCTGAATATCAATCCCGCTAATTTACTTAAAGTAATTTTGTTGTTCTTGTAATTTTTAAACCATGATTAAGTAAGGAAAAGCGCGACTTTGTTCTGATGGTTAAAAGTAAAATTTCTTAATCTGGAAAGCATTTTTATATAAGTAATTGTAATCTCATGTCAAATCACTACGGAGTGTCAGCATGGAGTTCTCTGGTGTGTTTTTTTTAATGTTTATTCCTTTCTCGCCTCTGAAGTTTTCCATTTCCCGTGTGTTTCTGCACGTGGGTGCCTTTCTTATTGGTTACCAGTGTCATTCCTCAAGTTTTGCATATTTATTTTCCTGTCAATCACTTCTCAGTAGCTGTGGTTTTTGTTATTCATAAGTGTGTTTGTGCGCTGCCTCATAAAAATGCTTCTTTTCCAGTTTCCTCTTCTATCAAGATGCGGAAGGATGGCAAACATTGTTGAAGAAACGCAAAGGACCAACGAGAAGACTATCGTGGTTAATCTTGAGGAATTCCCTTGTCAATCTGACACATTTTTGGCTATAGTTAAATTTTGTTATGGTGGTCGAGTAGAATTGACGCCAAGGAATGTGGTAATGATGTATTGTGCTGCAGATTACCTCGAGATGACAGATGATTATGGAGAAGATAATTTGTTGTCCAAGTCAGAGAGATTCTTCCACAAACATGTTCTCCAAAACTGGAAGGACTGCATTTTGGCTCTCCAAAGCTGTGAACCAGTTATTTCAAGAGCAGAAAAGCTACATATAGTTGGTAGATGTCTGAATGCTTTATCTGTTATGGTCTGTACTGACACCACTCTATTCGGATGGCCTATGATGATGTATGGTAGTTTACAGAGCCCGGGAGGTAGCATCCTGTGGAATGGGATAAACACCGGTGCAAGAATCCTTAGCATAGAATCTGACTGGTGGTTCGAAGACATCTCATATCTAAATGTGGAGTTGTTTGAGAGACTAATTCAGTCGATGGAGGCCAGAGGAATACGACCCGAAAATTTGTCTGGAGCTATAATGTATTATTGCAAAAAGTATCTTCCTGGCTTGGGCCGTTGGCAGGGTGGAAAAAGTGGCATATCCAGATCAGTTACTAGTTTTAGCTTGACACCTGCTGCTGTTGACCAGAGAGTTCTCTTGGAAAGTGTTGTGAAACTGCTGCCCGAAAAGCAGGGAAAATCTTTTTGTCGTTTTCTGTTGGGACTTCTACGTGTTGCATTGATATTGGGGGTTAACCATACGTGCCAGGACTCTTTGGAAAGGAGAATAGGGATGCATCTAGAACTCGCAACCCTTGATTGTCTACTTATACCTAGTTACTCAGATTCCGATACTTTATACAACACTGATTGCGTTGAAAGGATGATTAATCATTTTGTATCTTCTGAACCAAAAGTAACTTCTATTTCTCCATCATCATTGGACCTAGAATCATCACCATCATCTGAACGGTTGAAGAGAGTTGCTAGATTGGTAGATAACTATATTGCGGAGGTTGCTTCTGATGTGAACTTGAAGCCTGGACAGATACATACATTGGCAGAAGCCTTGCCAGAATCTTCAAGATCTTTGCACGATGGACTCTACCGAGCAATGGATATATACTTTAAGGTTCGAATCAACTCTAACAAATGTCCACTTAGCATTTCTGCTCTGTTTAGTAGTCATATAGCACCTCTCTATCTTACCGAAAAAATGTGATCAAAAGAATAAATTTTTTTCTGATGGACCGTAATACGAATAGAAAATATAATCTCATTTCTACATATTATTACAGAAGTCTTTGCGGCAACAAATGCCAGAAGGGCCACTCGGTTTTGGCTTTTGACAATTTTTCATGAAATTATTCAGGCACATCCCTGGCTCTCGGAGAAAGAGATGGAGCTGCTTTGCAACATCATTGATTTCCAGAAGCTTTCCATCGATGCTTGTGCTCATGCATCCCAAAATGGAAGGTTACCCCTTAGAGTTATTCTTCAAGTTTTGTTCTTTGAACAAATGCAGTTAAGAAAGGCTTTAGCCGGGTACCTGAATGTTTTGGATACTGAAAGTGCCCCTGCGGGTTCAATGACTACCCCAAATGAAATAACTGGTCAACCTGTTCAACGAGATGGGTGGGTAAAGGTTGTTCGCGAGAACCAGGTTCTAAAAGTCGACATGGAAAGGATGAGAACTCGAGTTGAAGAGCTAGAACAAGAATTCACTAAAATTAAGGATGATATGATTCATATGAAAAAGGTGACGAAGTCACATAGTTACCTTAGTTCCCCTAGGTTTGTTTCAAGAAGGCTTGGATGCAAGCTGCTTCCCCGGTCTTCAGATGCTGAACCTGACGTCCTGGAGAGAACGGCACGGACTCCCAGAGTGTCAGTCGAGCAGGCACAATCTTTCTCCCGTCACTCCGGACATCGAAAAAGTTTCTCTTTGTTTTGAGGGTTGTAATAAGAAAAATCTGCCTCTCACAACCCCCTTCCAAAAAGTTGGATATCTTTAGAGGAAGCAATTGTTAAAGCAAGTTGGATATCGTAATTGCCCCCGTAACACATGCACGGTCATCTACAAAGCTTCCATGGAGGTAAATACAAAATTCTACTCAACAAAAAAGTACGTATTCTAGACAAATGATCTCCTAAGCATTATTGTTTAGCTTATCCTAAGCATCGGTGCTTGACATTGACCCACCAATCAATTGATGTGTCATGTTACCGATGCTTAGGGGATCATTTCTCACATATTATGTACTCATATTTACATACATTTTGGTTTATAAATGTTAGCTACATGAAACCAATGTATAACTTTTGTGAAGCATACAAATTATATAAAAAAATAGGTTCCTTGTGGTCATGTATACGTACCTACTGTCTAATGTCTACTAGAGCTTCTCCCAGAAAATTTATGGAATTTGAGAATAGCATATGAAAGTTTAGTCAGTCTATGATTTTGACATGGATGTTTTAACAATATTTGTGCTTGTTAATGTATATACATTTATACACAATATACATGTTAGTTAGTCCCACATTGATTAGAAAGTAAAATATTCATATCAAGTTAAACTATAAATAGGATGCCTCTCTTGTAAACAAATTACACTATTCAATACAATTCTATTCTCTTTATATTGTCTTATTTTCTCTCTTAAATTCAA